ACCGCCAGACACACTCGGAAAACGGCGTGACACCGCGCTCGTGCCAGGTCCAAACCACAAACAGGTTTTGTTGCAGTTACTATCTCCTCCCGGGCCTTCATCAGCCTGCGGAACACTCCGGAAGGAAGCGATGTAGGACACCCAGAACACTGACCAAACAGCTTAATTACACACAGGGCAGCAAAACACCAGAGGATACGAGAGGCCTGAGGTAAACAGATTTTGAGATTTGGGGCAGTGCTGCCTCATGTTTAGCAACAGCAAGAGAAGAGGAAACCCCAGAGGGTGGGACTGACGGAGCAGCCAGCTCTGCCCACCGAGTACTCAGCTACGGTGGGAGGGAGAAACCCCTTTACTGGGATGGACCCCCAAAAGCTTCCTGGGCGCTCCCTTGGACACAGCCCCAACTGCCACAAAACACAAGAGCCCCTCCGTGGTGTTACAGGGTTTATTATCCTGTCTGTACAGTCCTTGGTAGATGCAGTTTAGATGATTCCAATCTGGAAAGAAGCAAAGCACATTAAAGCAGATGTTACAGCAGTGGGAAGGCAGAGCCTCCACCAGACATCCCTGCCAGGGCCGCATCTTCCCAGGATTCCTGTCCTCCGACAACAGGCTTCTTCCTCCCAGACCTGCCCCAGTGCCTTACGCAACCACTTTACATGTTTATTCCAGCGTCGCCCGTGCTAATCCACAGCCACATTCCCTCACCGCACTCCGTACCACCGCTGCCTCCTGCCTGCCTCCACCACCTCGAGGACTGAGCTGTCCCACAGCCACGCTCCTGCCATCATTCCCACTCCTTCCAAGGGGCGAGAACACAAGCTGCAGGGCAGTTTCTGCATCCTCCCCGCTAATACTCCACAGATCTGCCTGCGGAGTGGAGCCCCTCCCTGGAAGAAGTGAGGAACAGCAGCTCTCCCTCGGTAACCTTTCCCACCAACCCTCACCATCTTCCAGGCAGATCTGGGTTAGCTTTGCTAGACAATGCAATCTTGCTTCCCAACACCCGGATTCCACAGAGGACGCTCCCCAGAGGCGCCACTGTGCTGGAAGCACAAGTGCCTGTACGCCGAGAAGAACAACTAGGCGCAGGAGACACAAAGGAGCACAAAGTTTCAAAGATTTCTCACCTTGTTGGCTACATCCAGCGCATCATAATCGGGAGCCAGTCGGACGTAAGCCTTCTTCTCCCCATCAGGCCTAGAGCGCAAGAGGAGAGATCAGTACAGGCACTTTTCCTGCTACAGCACTGTGCATCAGTGGTTCCTTTGGAAACATCACTTTACTCAGTGGTAAAAAAATGTTCACATCATGTGCACACAGCTCCTTGAGGGTTGCAAGAGCTCCCTGAACTCACTGTGACCCAATCTCCTGCTAAACGCCATTTGGGGCTCCTGAAGCATCTCACACCCACCTACCGTCCCTCCCCTTCTCACCTAATCAACGTGTTGACCTTGGCCACATCGATGTCGTACAGCTTCTTGACAGCCTGTTTGATCTGGTGCTTGTTCGCCTTGACATCCACAATGAAAACCAGAGTATTGTTATCCTCGATCTTCTTCATGGCCGACTCCGTCGTCAAAGGGAACTTGATGATGGCGTAATGGTCCAGCCTGCAGGAGAGAGGCCCTGTGGTTAACAGACGGTTGGCAGACACCACCTCGGCACTTCAGGGCTTTCAAATACCACAGGTACCGTCTAATAAGGTTTGGGGTGCATCAGTTGCCAAAAGGTTTTAATCACAAACTCTCAGGCTTTGGTCGCTTGAAATCATCACCTGCACCCCAAACCCCATCCCCCCAAGGTGTAGGTTCAGCTGACAGGGCAGCAGGCTGCAGGTCCCCACACCAGCCCATGCTGGTGGTTGTCCGTTACAGGTTGCCCAGAGAAGCTGTGGATGCCCCATCCCTGGGAGTGTCCAAGGCCAGGCTGGATGAGGCTTGGAGCAACCTGGTCTGGTGGAAGGTGTCCCTGCCCATGGCAGGGGGATGGAACTAGATGATTTTTAAGGTCCCTTCCAACCCAAACCATTTTATGGTTCTATGATTCTATGCACAGGGCTCCTCCCACCCCACAAGCCCTGCAGTGGGGCAGAGGCCAGCACCCCACACGTACTTGTTTCTCCGTGGGGCGCTTTTCCGGGGGTACTTGGGCTGCCGCCGCAGTCGCAGAGTCTTGGGCCTGCGGAAGGTGGGCGATGTACGGATCTTCTTCTTCTTGTGACTGTGGACCCCCTTCAGAACGGCCTTCTTGGCCTTCAGCGCC